CTGGGCAAATCACAAACTAGATCTCCTTATTATCTCAATGATCTCTCAGAGACAGAAATGAGAATAAATGGAGATTCGCACTTAGAAAAAGACCCAAGTAATGGAACATGCATCTCCTCAAGTTTACATTTTGTAGTGTGCGCTCAGCAAATGACAAATTAGACTTGCATCTCGTCTAGTGTTTCAGTAGAGATCTCGGTGACATCTCAATCTGTGCTCTGAAGTCTGCTAACAAGTCACAGATCTCAATATTCTCATCACATAATCTCCCAAGAGTTTCTGCAGTCCACATTCATTTTATAGCTCTACTTTCACATACAACCTCATTTGTGATAAATAAAACATGGCCAATAATTGAGAACTGAACAAGAGCAACGGTTAAGCAATAACCTGTGCAGTTTATGAGCCGCCGAACCGAACACCTCATCCTGTAAGTGATGATGCAACCGGCTGCAAACATGCGCTAAACTCATTTCTATTCTTTTTTTTACTTTCTCGCTCTCATCTCTGAAGAGCAGCTAATTGTACGGAGGAGTGACTGATGTACGGCGTGTGAATTCGTCTTTCTGATAATGTTTGTGTGTGTAGGAGCGAACAGGGAAACTGCAGCTGTGTGTGTGGGAGATACATGACGTGCTCATGCATGTGGAAAAATTGTTTTTTTTTTTTATCAGTAATTTGGTAAAATGAAGAACTGGAATTATTGTTGCTGGTTAATGAGCTGAAAAACAATTGCATGCATTTGTGATTCTTTAAACCAGCATGAGTGTGTGTGTGTGTGAGAGAACTTTAGCCCAGTTTTCCTAAAAACAAACAAAAAAAAACAACCTAAAAGGTCCAAGCAGAAAATAATTCACAGTGACACTGACTGCCAAAACAATCATACTGCTCTATAATACACACACAGGTGAACGCAGGTGCACACACACATAATGAGCTGGTCAGCGACCATCACACACACACACTTCAGACTGCTGACCGAGTCTCATGAGAATAACTACTAAATAAAGCTCAACTGTCCTGCAGCATTTACTGCATTTATTCAGGAATTATTAAACAAGCAATGATTTTAACAACAGATGAAGTGTGTCATTTCTGCACAGCAAGCAGCACCAAACAAAAACTGCAAAAATAGCTAGATTTTGATATTTTTATATGCACAAAAGTGAGATGTTGACATGTCGGGCTGCTCCAACAACAGACTCTGAACATTAAACGTGACCTTTAAGTTAACATATGATTGTAAAAGAGTGTGTCTGGATTGCGTTTGTTATGTGACACACATTACAGAAGTTAAACTGCCCAGGAACTCAAACACTGATCCTGATTCACTGACTCAATATTTATTTTATCCAGTCAGCAGCTGCGAATGTGCGAGAGCAACACGTCACACACGCACACATGCACAAACACACACGTACAACGGTCAACTAGCTTCGATTGGCGAAGCAAAAAACAAGGTGACCTTACATGTGACTGCACACACATACACATTGAAAAAGTGCTCAAATTCTGCTTAAACACACACACACACATGCACGTGCACACACTCAGCAGATGTGGCATCTTGCACAATGTTTGTGTACGCTAAAGGGTAAGATATGGAGAACGAACACAAACACACACGCAATTTAAGCTGTACTATTATCTGATTACATTGAGCGCATTAAACGCTCCACTGATCTGAGATGGCTTCTGGCTGAAAGCAGATGTACTGCGGACCCTTAAACACAGTCTGGAAGACACACACACACACGGGTCGAGTGTTAAAGACGGCAGAATCGAACAGCCGAAGATCATTACGAGGCCTTCTGGAGTTTTTATTCTGCTTGAGTTTACCAGTGTTACTTTAACACCAGTAATACAACTTTAACATCTAAAGAAATTAAAAGTGCATGAGCTCACATGCGATTGGCCGTATTGAGGTCACATGACCAGATTGATATTATTTGCTTTAGCTTAGTAGGTTGTCTGAATATTCTCTAACAATTTTGGATGTAGAATAAATTAATAATAGGTGGCAAAGACGAATGTGAATAGATAATTGTGACAATGGTGTCTGTAATGCTACATCCACACCAATAGGTGTCAGTCCAAATCCGATTGATCAAATTCAATCAAGTGTGAACGGCCAAAAAATATGATTTTTACACATTTTTTACAATCTATGAACATTTTTGTTTCACTGATGAATGAGAACAGTTGAAATCCCACAGGCCAGAATGTCAAATTAGCCCGTGCATGAACTGTGATAAATAAATTGAATGTTAAACTTTTAATTAATCTCTTAAGATGATGCATCAGATTTGGCAGCTAGATATTTTGTTATTGGGTTATGCACTAGTTATGTTACTAAAAACTAAAAAACCTTTTATAGCCTAGCTCAGGTCTTTTAGGTGAGAAATATAGTCTGTCCTGTTCAAGGTCTCAGCCTAGAATAGCTAGTTGTTCATGAGCGGGAGAGAGAGAGATTGGACAGCCGTCCTCTGCTTCTGTGTTTCGATGTCACGCTGAGCGTCTAAACACAACTGCACACACACTCCGTCCCCATAGTGACCCTATGGCAACGGCGCCCTCCACAGAAACGCCACACCGCATGCTAACACATGCCTCGTCATGCCGCTAGCAGCCGGCCTGCATAAATGACACAGTCTTGCCAAACACACACACACACACCACTGACATGTACAGAAAACAAATGATTCGACAGAGAGAGAGAGAGAAAGAGAGAGAGGGTCCGTCCAGCCCAGTCCAGCGTCCCCGAAACGTGCCGTTTGCTCTTTAAAACGCTCCTCCCTTAAAATACAAAAAACTATTTATTATTGTTACAAACAATTGCTATTATATTTCTCAGTGTTACACCATTAAAAAGTGCAGCTCACATTTCTCCAACTCTTTTCAGAGGAGAACAAGAGTCTCGTAATAAGACGGAAGAAAGCCATGAGAAAATAGAGCAGCATATTCACACACTTTGATTATTTTTAACATCAATGAAGATACACATTAATGCTGTAATACACACAAAGGCCAATCTCACACAACCTGTCAAGAACACGTCTGGGTCGCGTTTCACCCCCAAAATCAGAAGAAAGAAATGGGAAATTATTATTTTTTCTGCATATAGAAAATACAGCCTGTATATAAAGGACAGATTCTCATTACCACAAATTAAACAATAACGATGCATTATTTAAATGTTAAAATATTCATGCATTGTGTGCAGCAGTGTTAATTGCACAGCTTTAATGTAACTAGAATTAATCTAACAGGATTTACAGAAAGAAATCCTTGATGCATTACGTTAATGAAAATTTGGGGGGAAATGTGCTTAAAAAATTCCAAAAAATTCCAATTATTATTGCATTATATTTGATATATTTTACTATTCATATTTTTACAATATATATATATATATTGATAATATTGATTATATATAATTTTAATTGTAAAACATTTAAACATCATGGTAGCTTTTTGTTGTACAGACTTTAATTTATGCATGTTTATATTTAAAATAAAAATACTGTATAACAAAAAAAGTAAAATGTATTAGTTATTTATGGTAATGAGCATTTGGGGGTAAATGCTTGATAATTTAGTTAAAAATTATTTAAAACTTTTTATTTAAATAAAATTAAAAAACTAAAAGGTCATATTTATTAGCTATTTATGGTAATAGCATGAAAATAATCTCACAATATTTGTATTTTTGGTAACTCTCCTAAATGTCTTCCTTTTCATTATGCAAAATATAATTTCTGTTCTTTTTTTTCTTTTGATTTTGGGATAAAGCCTGACCTGGACGTGTTTCCGTGAGGTTCATCCCCATCTACTGTACCTCGGACACAGTCTCATATGCACACATACGCGGGTAAAGGCAGTTTTTTCCCCGTTAACAGGAGGGTTTCTGTAAAAGACGAGCCCCTATCAGCACACACACACACAAAGAAACACGTCACTAGAGCAAAGTGTGGCGAGAACTATCCGGCGCAAAACTCTTTGCTTCTATATTTCACAGCAAATCTGGAAGAACAATTCTGATTGGTTTCTTCAAATGTCCTTTTTATGAAAAAAAAAGATGACTTCAAGTTTGTGTGTGTGTGTGTGTGTATTTTTTTCCCTTCCATCTGGATTTTCTTCCAAAAGTCCCAGAAGACCTGGAACGATCCTTCGAGGAAGTTGTTTTCTTTTCTCCGCCCCGGTGGTTAATGTTTTTAACGATAATTCGGTTGGATCTACGACACGTCACTCACAGCACACGGACGACAAGGGATCCCGAGAAAAACAGGGACTTCACTACTATTGTGCCAGCGATAAAGAGAAACCACAGAGGAAGAAAAGCAAAAGAGACAAGGATGGTGGAGTCCATTTGCTGTCTGTAAGTCTCCTTTCAGCTGAACCAATCGGAGCAGTTTACTTAGAAGAAGAAGGAAGAGAGAGAGAGAGAGAGAGAGAGAGAGGAGGATAGATTGAAAGAACAAAGATACGGAAAATCAGTTCAAGTGAGAAAGGCCTGGAGAGGTCAGGGATTTGGAGAAAAACAACTATAAACGGAGACGAGTGTTAATGGAAAGAGGGCGTCTCTTTCCCCCTCATGGCTTTAATTACAGCGGCGCTCCGGGGCCGTCGGACTCGCACGGGATGTCTGAGACCTGGAAAAATACAATTCCCAGAGTTCCTGCGACTTGATCCGTTTCAGCGGTGGCCAATTTAAAGGCTGCCAAATGAGCTCCCATGAGCCTCCGGGTCTAGACGTGGGGTTGGTTGGATGAGACGAGGCGATGCGTTCACACACCATGAAGATGTTAGACCTCTCCAGCCCGAGGAACACGGGGGAACGATGGATAAAACAACAGGAAACGTCATCCTGGTAACGTGTAGTCGTGGCACGAGCGCTCTCAGAGCATCTGTAAATGGCTTTGTTGGATTTCGTGACTATCCCAGAGTCCCGAACGGATGCTGATGCACAAAACATCAAAGAACCGCTTGTGTAATCAGCAATTGGTGAATCAGCAGGCCTTTACACTACATGTTACCAGAGTAAATAGAGACGAAAGTGGAGGAGAGATTCAGAAGCTCAAAGGTTAAAGGTTAAAAGTACCCGTGTTGTGCCGCCTGGCAGCAAGTTAGTCTTGTGCATAAGGACGGGGTTTCGGGTCAAAGGTCAGAAGGGGTTGGAGGGAATCGTGGGAGATGGAGAGGGCGAATCAGGCTTTGAGAGCGTGCCACTGCGCCACGTTTGTACGAGGCCGGCTCAACATGTCCTTCCAGTGTTTGACCTCAGCAGGACCGCTCTTCCATGACAAGTAGATCTGAGAGAGAGAACGAGAAAGAGATGCTAGTAAACAACAATGAGGGACACAGCAGGGTTCCCGCTCTTTTCAAAACAGTCTTTCCAGGTAGGGAATCGTAAAATAATTGAACGACTCGATTCCAATTCCTCTAAATGATACCGGTTCCTAAACGATTCCCCTGACGATTCTTTTAGTACTTTTGAAGAACCCTATTTTCACTGTTGATTCAGTGTGAGGGGTGAATCATGACTACAGCGTTCTGCAACACTGAACCACTAACACAATCGAAAAATAGAACCCAACCCTATTATAACTCAATTATATTATATATAGACACATATCGAGAGGTTACACACTCAATAATGTAAGTACAAATCCTCGAGCTTCTCCAAAGAAGTTCGAATTTATTTTAGTGAATCAGTTCATTTGGATAGTTAATTAAAAAAAATGAACCGATTGACAAAACTTATTTTTGAAGCAAAATATTTTGTTTAATAACGCTGTTTATCACTATTTTTTCTAATTAATTTATATAAATTATTGTTTTCTAATTTTATTAATTGTATTTAGTGTAAATGTATTAATATTTAATATTGTTACTGTTTAGTTTTTGCCAAATAAATGCTGTTCTGATTGGAAAAATAAATATAAATTTGACAGTAGTATATTTTATGAAAAATTGATGAATAATATATCAAGATTGATCACCCACTTATTTAGCATATCTGTAGTTTCTGTTATAACTTTTTCATAATAACATAGTAACACACAAACACACACACACACACACACACACACACATACATATATATATATATATATATTCTTTTACTTCTTTAAAATTGTCCTTTCTAAAGGATACTGCTTATCTACTATAATAAAGGATTGAATATAATAATTTTTTATATCAAAATGCAACAAGATTATCCTACTCAAATCTGTAATAAACGAGTTAGATCAAAATGAATCTAAAAGTATTAAGATTATTATTATCACCTTAAATCTAGTAGCTTATGTTACTGACTACACTTGTCTCCACATGACTACGTCATGTAATATTAAATCAGTAGCGGATTATAATTTTTAAGGAATTTACCCAGCGCTTTATATACACACACACACACACAATAGCACAGGATGCGCATATTGTCACCTTTCCAATGACATCGTTGCGGCTCAGTCGATCCTTGTCCATGACGGTGATGATGATGGTGGTCTCTCGGAGAACATGTGCCGGCACGTCAAAAGGGAAGGATTCGTTAAAAACGGGATTCAGGCAGCGTTTGATGGTCACTGTCTTCTTCTTCTCCACTCGCTTGTCTTTGTGCATTAGCCATACTTTTACATAGGGGTCTACAACCAATCAGAGAACGAGAGTGCGTGAGTTATGCAAATGACACTGTTCAATATTCATTCAACCAGTGTTTTTGTTATCACACGTGTGTCTGAGTACCTGAGGTTCCCCCGATGTCCATGGCTTTGAGGTTGCGAGCTTTTATGATGTTAACAGTGATGGTGTTGGCAGTGGGGTTATAACACAGAGACAACAGCAGATCGCCACGTCTTCCCTACAACACACACACAAACATAACACATGTCTTAAAACAGGCTTGAAAGAGCTTTGAGAGTTACAGCAGATAGGATGATTTTCAGAAAATAATGCTATAATGTTCAATCTGTTACTCATACACAGCTTGGGATGTAGTGGAATAGTGCTGTGGTTCTTTACACACAGTAACAGTTATATTTAATCATATTGACCTGAATAACCATTTTATGCTGAAATGGTTCTTTCTGTACGTGTTCACCCAAAAAATGAAAATGATGTCATTAATGACTCTCCCTCATGTCGTTCCAAGCCCGTAAGACGTCCGTTCATCTTCAGAACACAGTTTAAGATATTTTAGGGTGTATTCACACCTGCCTTGTTTGGTTCGATTGAATCGAACTCTAGTTCGTTTCCCCCCTTGGTGCGGACCTTTTGGGCAGGTGTGAATACAGCAATCGAACTCGGGTGCGGACCAAACAACCGAACCGAGACCCAGCTGAAGAGGTGGTCTCGGTACGGTTCCAAACGAACTCTGGTACGGTTCGTTTACGGTGTGAACATGAACCGACCCAATTGCAAGAAAGCACTGCGCCTTTGAGTTAACAGGCTTCCGTAGTCGGAGTTGCGTTATGGGAAAGTGATCTGTTGTAGCCTACGCCTACTACATTGCATCTGTTGCGCGTCTTTCTGCGCGTCGTGTGTGTGCATCATTGGAATGGAATGAATGAACGAGTGTGTGCATCAGGACATTCACATACAGAGCGTTCTCTTTAGTCTAATCGCGCATAGATGCAAAAAAAACAACATTTGCAGTTAATATAATGTAACGATAGTTACAATACAAGGATGATGCTGCGTTCATTTACGTTAAGCCTTTTTTGCACTTCCTGATTTCCCTACTTGAGAATCCTTGTCCAATGAATGGACGACCTTACCACACGTGTGGTTTTGTTTACAAATTTTGGTTCACTTGCAAAAAGAGCAGTGTGAAAGCGAACCGTACCAAAAAATAAAAAAGTATTTGGTCCGGACCAAAGCAAGTGAACTATCGGACTTTCCTGGTGTGAATACACCCTTAGATTTAGTCCGAGAGCTTTCTGTCCCTCCATTGTAAATGTATGTACGGTATACTGTCCTTGTCCAGAAAGGAAATAAAGACATCATCAAAGTAGTCCATGTGACATCAGTGGGTTAGTTAGAGTGTGTTGAAGCATCGAAAATACATTTTGGTCCAAAAATAACAAAAACTAGGACTTTATTCAGCATTGTATTGTCTTCCGGTTCTGTTGTGGATCCGCGTTCAGTGCCGCTGCTGACGTAAGACGCTGCTTACTGTGTTCCGAAGATGAACGGAGGTCTTACGGGCTTGGGACGACATGAGGGAGAGTCATTAATGACAACATTTTCATTTTTGGGTGAACTACCCTTTAAGGCCCGTTCACACCAAGAGCGATAACTATATTTGTGTCCACACCAGCGTACAATATCGTTATAAGTGTGAGCTGCGGTTGTGTCGTCTGCCGCTTTAAATGCAGGAGCTCTAGATGTGAGGATTGATTCAATGAGGTTCATTCTCGCGCGTCAAGCAGATTCTCTTTATGTTCACTGATCAATGTTTAAATGTGGATAAAAGCTTAAATTCAATCTGTTCATCATATAAAGTGATCGAGTCTCTTCAGAAAATGTGGACTAAACCACTCAATTCATATGGATTAGTTTAACGATCTCTTTATGAACTTTTTAAAGCGTCAAAGTGGTAGTTGCGTAGCTGTCAATGGAGGGACAGAAACCTCTCAGATTTCATCAAAAAGATCTTCATTTGTGTTCCAAAGATGAACAAAAGTCTTACAGGTTTTGAACGACACGAGGGTGATTAAATGATGACAGAATTTCCATTTTTGGGTGAACTTTCCCTTTAAGAGTCCATATTTTCCATTGTGTGTAGAGTCCACTCACGCTGCCATCACTGCAGGGTTTGAGATCCTTCCAGAACGACTTCAGCTGTCCGAGCTCCACTTTATTCAGAGGGATGGAGACCTCACCGATCGGGTCGTTACGGCTGAACCGATCGTAATCCAGCACCTGGAGATACAGCGTTCGTTCCCGCACCTTCTCATACGGGAACCCTGAGGACGTGTAAGACGGGAGGGTAGGATTCAGATTTACCCATTCAGAATGATGAACACAGGACATACTTCATCCAAACATCTAAACAAAATAATGTGCATAATGAAACCATTAACATTTTTGCACTGTGACAGTATTTTCCTGATGATTCAGCATATTTCCCCTCAAATTCCCATTACCGTCACATAAAAAAAAAAAATCATTATTATAATGAGTCCTGTACTTTTACAGGCTTTTTTGTTGTTGTCATTTTCATTAGTCTCATGTTGATTCTCATTACAATCTATTTGTTCAGTATTTTCAACAGTACATACAGTAATTACAATTTATTTGGCAGACACTTTTACCTTGCATTCAAGGTACACATTTTATCAATTCATACATTTCCTGTTAATTGAACCCATCCTGACCTTAGTGTTGCAACCGCATTGCTCTACTATTTGAGCAACAGAAATGATAATATAATCTATTGTATTGTAAAAGTGAATAGATTATAACTAAGATGTTTGGAAACACGGGTGATCCACAACTGACCTTCAAAAAGGAAGGTTTCGTTCCAGTGAGGGTTGAGATTTTTCCTCTTGACTTTGGTCTCGAGTTTGTGCTTTCTGTCGGGCAGTAGGTAGATTTTGACGAAGGGGTCGGAGGTCCCAGAGAAGTCTTTAGCGGGCAGGTCTTGACCTTTGAGTATCTTCACCGTCAGAGTCGTGTCTTGGAAGCTGTAGCCCAAGCTGAACTGAATCCGGCCCAGTTTCTCGCTCACTGGACCTTCGTCATCTTCCGACCCCGGAGACAACTAAAGAGAGCATGAGAGAGAATGTCGAATGTGAAGAACGGTGATGAGACAAAAAAAAAAAAAGCAATCTGGAGTGTTCTTAAAACCTGGCGTTTGTTGTTGTTTTTTCAACAGACACCTGCTGTTATTATTGATCATGAAACATGAGGCATGTATAAGATATTTAAGACATAAGACACCATAAAACATTAACCAATAGGTATCACCCATATTTGCCCAGCTGTTTTTTTACGTTAAGGATTGCAAGCATTATTTGTCTTACAAGTGTCCTCGAAATTATGTTTAAATATGCAAATGAGGTATTATCTGATTAAATATGCACTAATTTGCATACATTTCTAAAAATTGTATAAAGCCAGGTTAAAAATTGTTGTTTCATTTTTGTTTAATTTGACATATTACAGTTAAAGGTTTTTACCGAGGAGATTTTAGATTTCTCTTTTTATTTATTATTTATTAGAAAATAGCCTTTAATGATATGTATTATAATTGAAATCTACAGACGCAAATAGATAAAGTGCAATAAAATAAACACTTAAAGTTGTATTTTGGTCTGACACTAATCTGAAACAACACGTTATGAAAAGCACAATTAGTCTAATATACACGCAATTGACAAGCAGATTTTCTCTATTTGCTTTCACTTTAGACATAACCAACTTTGTTTATGTAAACCTTGTGTGTATTTGACAGTATCAGCGCAATAAGACTCGAAAGATTAGTCCAGTATGCAGGCGCTGTGACGGCTTTAGTTCCTGTGAGCGTCGGGTGTAACGCGCTCAGAAAAGCGCATGTTAGAACAGCGCATCAGCACGTGAATGACATGTTTAACTAGCCAGACTTTGACGCACATGCAAACAATGAACTTTTGTGAATTGCGGTGTCCCGTGAGTGTAACTCTACCTCTGCGTTTACATGTGATGTGATGTGAATGTACGTCGCGTTGTACAGTATGTTGAGATGAAGGCGCCAGAATTGAACTGATAGAATGCACGATACTATGATTTTTCTTCAAAAGCAGATCGTGGAGACATTTTAATCGTCCACGATCAAAAACCGCACGGCACACCCCTAGTTGGAAGTTTAAGTTGGTGGCGCTCATGCTTCGTTCGCGGTCGTCACGTGCGCATAGGAAACACGCCAGCCTATCGGCAAGGCTCATCGGCAGTCATATTCATATCTGCCGATGCCGATGATGGTCATTTTAAGCTTTTATCGGCCGATACCGATGTTGTCCCGATATCATCGTGCATCCCTAATTTTCACCTAATTAATATTCATAAGCAACTAGGGGTGTAACGATACCCTCATGTCACGATTCGATACATATCCGGATACTGAACTCACGATACAATATTATTGCGATACTCCAAGACATATGGTAAAATGTTAATAAAAAATGTACTGTTGATTAAAATGGTAAATTTGGTATTAAATTGTGTGTGTAAATGATTAGACTTGGACTTGGTGCTGGAAACCCAAAGCACAGCACAATGATGACACCAGAATAAACATATTGTAGAGACTTTAAGGATGAACCAAACACAAATTAATCTTTCTAATCTCTCATGGGATTCATTTAAATGTGATTCAGCATTTCGGATCTGAATACCACATTCCAAAGTCACAAGACTGGCTCCAAATTGTCTAGAAAACCCCCCAGAGAAGACTTTTATGGCCCCAGAGATAAGCCTAAACAGGAAGAACGTGTCACTGTTTTCATCCTTAAGCCAGACAAAGCTGCTCAAAAATGGTGAAACGAGGCCTGACCACCAAGGGGCCTGACCACCTTTGACCTCCCTCAGCATCACCATTGCTGAGCAGGACAGCGATGTAAAACAGACCACGCTTTCATGGAACGTGAGAGACTTACACAGACTTTACATATCAAACCCATTAAAACTCACGCAGAACAATGCTCCGTGGACTTAATCAAACATCATAATTCTTGTTGTTCCTACAATTCATGTTTGTATTATGCTTAGATCACATATAAATCATGTAATTGTGATATAACTGTGTGTATGGATGAAAGAGTATCGTGCTTCCAATCAAAAGAATCGTATGCCCTTAATTCAAAAGGTGGCTTGTTTGAAATCTGTGTAAAATGTTTTGTATGATTATAATAATCTATAATGTTTAAACTGGGGTCTCTTGTTCTCTGCTAAGTGCTGGAACCCAAGCAGATCCCAGATAACGATAAGTAGGAACTCGATCCACCTCCTAAAATGATGCCATTGTCTCATTGGTCAGAATTCTCCAAAAGAGGTTGGACTAACTTTTAAGTTAAAGACCCGAACAAAGGAGAGAAAAGAAAATTCGGTTCAGAGAGCAGTTCGGGGTTGCCGTTCGGTTCTGAGTTCAGTTCGGTGTTGAATTAAGTTTTGCGCCTCTCTCTAGCAACAGCAAGAGAGTGTTCCTGTTCGTGCTTCTCTCTGAAAACAACAAAGAGCGTGTTCGCACGCTTCTACATCGACCAGACCAAATTAGACCAGCAGACAAATAACCCATCGAGATCGGGGTTAAAACAGCTCATTCAAGCCATCTAACTCGTCTTACTTTCATTTCTTCCTTTATTTTCTTTTTCGTAAAAGTCTCGATTCAAAGTTAAGTTGCTGCGAAGTTCGTTTAAACGTCTCTCCTGCAACGCGCTTTGAACTGTAAAGACTCTTATTCGCCTGCCAATCACACGTGACCGGCTGTTCAGAAACTTCCATCCAGGCACTTCAAAGACAACCAGCCACACGGACCCGGCCGGGAAACCCCTTCGACGAAGCACCGCAAAAAGGGAATTCCCTAAGCAACGCAAAGACAAGCAAGTAACTTACTCCAGACTCTAACTGAACTGGTGCGTTAATGTAAATTGAATAACCTGTCTAAGAAAAGAAGGTTTAAATGAATGTTTGGTGGTTCGTTCAGGTCATGTCTTACAAAGTGCATCTCACTCTGAAAACTCACTCTTTCTCTCTCTTCCTCTGCGCCTTGTATGAATGTGTGTGTGTGATTGTGTTTAGACCTTAGTTTTATGTGTTTAGAATAGTTAATAAAGTCGTCAATATATTTGAAAAGATATTTGCCTTGTGTTGTGCTTGCACATTTAATGTCTTGTACTGTCGATCTAAAGTTACCTTGCTAATACATAGTGTTTCACTATAGATTGGATATTCATATCTGTTGCCAAGGTTATAATTACGGCCCGTTCAAATGAACTCTAAACGAGTCATTTGCTCGGTTCCATAGTGATTCGGTCAAGATTCATTGCAAATCGATGAATCATTCCTTTTGAGCTAAATTGGCCTTCCGGCCCCCCTTAAATACATTTTATGTATATTATTATTGTGTGATTCATGATTCTGAAGCTGAAAACACAGAATTAATTTAGACGAATATGCTTTCACTCTGTCACTGACTCGATATATTTAAAATAATGTTGCCCACTTTTTACTGGTAACAAGACATTTAGCATTATCAGATTCAGGACCAACAAATATTCCCCCATTGCATTATTACACAGTATATTCAACATTATATACAGTAGTTTAATGTAGTACTGACACAAACGTTTTTTGTGAGAAAAAAATTCAAGTTTACAGAGTTTTAATTTTGGGTGAACTATCCACAATACATATTGTTGCATTTTTGTATTGCGATATATTGTGACACGATATATTGTTACACCCCTATAAGCAACACTGTAAAAAATGATCGTGATTTTAACGGTAAAAGACTGTGAAAATGCTACAGTGCAAAACTATATACTTTCCTTATATACGGTAAATAACTGTGATAGGTCTAACGGTACATTTAATGTAATTTTACTGTAAAATACCGTTAAATTTACAGTTTTTGAAAGTGAAAAAGAACAACTCATTGTATAATTTACAGTGAAAAACGTAAATTGACATTCCCACAATTCCCTGCGTGACACTTCACATTTGATTTATTTTTGTTGAAATAACTGTTTCTTCTTAGTTCTTTTCTAATCAGTTATGTACATTAGGGTTTTATGTTACATGTAATGTTGTTAAATTAATGTTTATTGCATTTTTAAAATTTCATGTGTGTTACCATGATGGTGTTTAATGTTTGTGTGAATAACACTGTGCAGCTTCTACATAATTGTATTAACTTTATTGTGGAAAACTGCTTGTGATGAGCTTTGATTTATCATGTGATTTATCATGATTGTTGGTTGTCAGTGTATTACAATGGTACAAAACAGATATTAATACTTCAATAGGTTGATAAATTAACATTATATCAGATAATGAAATACGGTTTATTACTGTAAATTTTAAGTTAAGTCTGTAAAACCAATAACGTCGATACCGTATTTTTGATACCGTATTGTAAGCCAGTTTTTTTCCGTAAAAACAAAGGGATTTTTTTTTACAGTGAACGCTTTCAAAGACGTTCCTCTTCCTGTGTAAAGGGGCCGAACGAGCTGCAATGTGATTCAGACTTGACTTTATTTTCATGCCAGCAGTCAGACAGACTGTGCAGGACCAGGACTCGACATGCAAACACTGTCCTACCATCACCATGTCTCCAGTGAGCGAGTTGGCAAGGTCAGACACTGAAGAATGTCCGTCGGCATCTGGCGGCTGACCCTTAGGACTGTTCGCCGGCTTATTCCCCATATTCCTACTGCAGGGTGAGAGACACACAGAGAAACACGGGTTACTAAAAATACCAGTGATGAGTGACTTGCCCTGCGATTCTTTCTCTTTGCCACAGAATCAAACCCAGATGACCTTTTGACCTCTATGAGCGTTGACTCGTGTTATTCTGACCCGCTTCGTCACACATTTTAGAAACGGACAAGAATATGCAGAAGACAAATTAATCACAAGCATGAGAATGATTTTTTTTACTTTCGATCACTTGAACACAATAAAATGAAGCCACAACAGAGAGATATAAAAGAAAAATCACATAGTTCAAGCTTTTACACATTTCCTGTTATAAAACATAAAAACATTGTAAGACAAAATGTTACCTCAGTTTATAACACAGCCAAAAGACACAATAAACTGGCCAATATTCAGGGTTATTAAATATTTCAGCAAACACATAAAGCTGTCAATTCATCACGCCACGGTGCGGTCCGGTACGTTTCCGGAGGCTGGTGTCCGGAGTCAGATTTGTGCGGCTGGCCTGGACTGGAAAATTAACTTAATATGGGAATGATATGGGTTCAGTACAAGACAAGCCGGTTACAGGCATTTGTAGTATAATGTTTATTACCACAGACTTCATTTTGACTTAAAATAAAATGCTTATAGACACCGAAAATAATTTTGATTGTAATTGTGACTCATTGCTCAGCTAAAAAAATAAATAAAAATAAATAAAAATAAAATAAAATAAAATGGTTAATGCCTTGGGAAATAATGTTGACTCAGGGCTCCACTTAACAAAAATAAAATAAATAGCATATTGCCACAAAAAAATTATTAAAAATAAGTTAAAAATAAATAAATGTTTATTGCCACAGAATATTTTTTTTGACTGATTGCTTCATAAAAAAAATGTAATAAAATAAAATAATTACTGTTTAAAGTTAAAAAATAAAGTAAAATAAGGGTTTAATGCCACAGAAAATAATTCTAAATCATTGCTCCATAAAAATAAATTAAAAAATAAAATATGTATTGCCATAGAAAATCATTTTGATTTACTGATTGAAGTTAAAAATAAAATAAAAAATAAAATAAAAAATAAAATAAAACCAAATAATAAATGTTTAATGCTACGGAAAATAATTGACTCATCATTCCATGTAAAAAAATAAAATAAAAATTATTCAGCTTAAAGAATAAAATAAAATAAAATTGGGGTTTAATAGCAGAAAGAAAGCTCATATTTTTGTCAAGAGTTCTAAATTATCCAGTAAACCATATAGGCAGATAATATGTGGTCATGACATTGAAATAAAATAAAAATGTCTGTGGTAAGTGAAATTATGCCACAAATGCTGTCATCGAGCATAACGTGTACTAAACCCCTAAATATTACTGTAATGTTTGACTAATCTACTGAACTAGTGGACAGGACAAAACTAAACCAGAGCAGGGGCCGAAAGAGCAGAGAGAGAGAGAGAGAGACAGACAAGGTGAAAAGGACAAATGCAGACATCTGAATGAAACTGAGTGATCAGATACAAACCGAGAGACAGAAAGACTGAAAGAGAGACACACACACACAACACAACTACAGGATGAACATAGAAAAGCGATGAAGGCGGCACACGGATACAGACGAAACTGAGACACGGTGACAGCTGGAGGGAGAAAGAGAGACAAAAGACAGCGTAAGAGGAAAAGAGGAGACGCTTTTCTGTGATGGTAAGGCAGAAGATTATTCGCATGACTGGAGAGTCAAACAAAACCATGAGAGAGACGTCAACCAAACCAGCACAGCTGCAGGAGAAAGAGAGAGAGAGCGAGAGAAGACAACAAACCCTGGAGTCAGTCAGAGAGAAAGGAGAGTTAAACGAAAGCACATACAGAGATTAGTTCCACAGAAAACAAACGACGGAAAAGAAAGACAAAGAGACCAGGAAGGAAGCGTTTTTGTTTCCGGAGAGAGGTGAAGCTTTGAAGAGAAAGAGAGAAAATGAGCGCTGGAAAGACAAAAGAGAGAGAAGGAGTAAACAAATAGTGTAAAGGAACACAGCAAATGGCACACGCAGTCGAACACAGAGAGCGGGAGGGGATAAAAGAGAGACATCGGGCAGATCAGACCGTCTTTAGACTGGCAGGGCAAGCGCTCTGAAGGGTTGACAAACTTTTCATCTTTACTCGCCCTCATGTCCTTCCAAACCTGTGGGACTTTCTTTCTTCTCTGGGACGCAAGAGAAGATATTTTGAAAAACGTTGAAAAACGGTATTTACAATGAAAGTGGATGGTGACCAAAGCGGTCAAGCTCCAAAAAGGGCATGAAAGCACCAAAATGAAGTTCATACGACTTTTGTAGTCTTCAGAAATCATACAATGACTTTTTCTGAGGGAAAAGTCTGACATTTAAATAGCTATTCGCTGTTAATCGTTTCACATAATAGGCAGAAATGCACCACATTAAATACAAAAAATAAATACTGAAATTTAAATAGCGATTCACTGGAAATCTTCACATTCAGCCAAACTTACACTAGAAAATTACAACAAAAAATAAGATAAATAAAATATACATTATTGTTATTATAAAATAAATTCAAATATAGAATTTAAATTTATTTTAACTGAAAATATTTTCATTTCAGAATTTGAAAATTAAACAATGAAATTTTAATAACGATTAACTATCTTTTTGCAGGCAGCCAGACATGCACCATGAAAATAAAATTAAATCACATAATTCATTGAAAATCTTTTCATATACAGACAAAAGTACAGCAGAAATATAAAATATTCAATCAAATAAAAACACTGATATTCAGTGATAATCTTTCTGCATAAAGTCAAAAGTGGACCACAAAAATAAAATAAAATAATAAAATAAAATAAAATAAAATAAAATACTGAAATTTAAACTGCTACTCACTGAAAGCATAAAGCCATAAGTGGACCATAAAAAAAAAAAACTATTCAACGAAATACAACGAAATTCGCTATTCAACGAATTTTTTTTTTCATATTGCCAGATATGCAACATAAAGTAAAAGTTTTTGTGTTTAGGTCGCCTTTAAAATGGTTGTTTTGTGTTTTCTTTTTTTGGAGCAAGAGCAGTTTCAGTTTTCAGTCCCACAGAAAACAACATGAGGGTGAGTAGACGAGTATAATCATATTTCAATATGTATAACTCATAGTCCCAGCTGTATCCGCACCAGTCTAAGGAGAGCTGCGGAGGTCCGGGAGGACGGATCTGACTCGGGCGGGAGGTTTACGCACAAACCATGAAGCGTCTGTCTGTCAACACATCTGTTTCGGGAAAACATCCGCTCAATGCTGTCACTTTACTTCAAGGCTAATTCACTCAAAAGCCGCCACGAACATCATGGCCGAGTTGTTGAAGACACACAGACGTAGTCGTAGCGGAGACGAGAACACATCGAGCAGGCAAAGCAACACACACAGACAGACACACACACACACACACACACACACACACACACACACACACAGACACGAGGTTAGCTCGGGAGGGGAGAGAGACAGGGCTGTAAAATCCTCATCAATATTCAGGGGAGGTGTCAGTAATTGGTTAATTGTGAACTGAATGCAGCTCTGATTGGCTAAATCTGTTAATGAGTTAGTGTGCTTGTTAGGTCAATCCTATTGAACCCACACACATTCAGCTGCCATGAAAGATGAGAACAGATGGAAAAATTATAATGACAGAAAGAAGAAGCGGATTTCAGGGTCTGAAAGGACGTTTAAAGTTGGTATAAAGTCTTCTAACAGTTTTAAAGGGGTCATTTGATGCTTTATAATGTTTTACTTTTCTTCTAGTGTGTATCTGTCTGTGATTTGAAACCGATGACATTAATAACAAATGCTTTAGAAGCCTTGAAAGCTAAACTCATGATTATGGTAATGAGCGTTACATTTCTGACACATGCTTGAGGTGTTCGGCCAATCACAACGCACTGGGTCAGCTGGCCAATCAGAGCACTCTGAGCTCTTCAGAAGGAGGGGCTTAATAGAAATCAGTGCATTTCAGACAGACTGGTGATAAAGGGGCTGCAATAATGTACAGTAAAAGTAATGTTTTCTTTTTATCATTAAAGCACGGTAAGCTGTTCTAATACACCCAATAAACAAAATAATGAACTTTTAAAGCAGCATCATATGGCCTCTTTAATTCAGCATATCTCATAAGAAACATTTCAAAAGCAGTTTCAAATAATCATTGTAGTAATAGTTTTCAGGAGGTAAAAAAAGCAAGTGCTTGGAAATGAATCAATAATGGGCGATTTATCCATAAAACATAGAACTATCATTATTGATCACATTACACTGTTCGAATATAAAGTGTCCAAGGCAATATTAAAAAGTTGAGGAAACAGTTGACGCCTGAAGACTTTCTGTTAGATTCAGTAACGAACATCGACAAGAGAAGGATGATGACAACTCTATATGTTTTCTAGATAATCTTCTCCAAAGATGAAACCTGGACGAGTTCAGCGGTGAGCGAGAACAGGTGAAATGAGGAGAGAAAAGAGAAAGAACACAATGAGCATCTCTCTCTTTCTCTCTCTGTATCTCTCCGTCTGTCCTCCGCTATCGATCGAGGGCAGATAAAGGACATGTGGACGCTGAATAATTCATTCACTGTAGATGTGACTCGCCTGCAGGTTATCCAGAAGTTCGGCTCAGTAACCGCTTTAACTTTAGCTGTCAGCGTACAGGTCAACATAAAGATCTTCTTCATAAACCTTTCAACAGGACGCTTTATAAAATCGATCCACCTTTGAAGTTGTTGTGAAATAGCAGAACAGACTATATTAAAATAATGGACTAAATAAAAAAGTTTAGTGTCTTTTTTTATTGATCCTGTACATGTAGGCCTAAGTATCGAACACTTTTGTCTTATATCAAACCGAGTAATTAAAAGTTATGCTTATATTATATAAAATATTTTGTATAATGCTTACTAAAAGTATTGAACACTTTTGTTTTATATAATATTTATAGTGTTGCTG